GGGGGGGGGGGGGGTGTCTATGGGAAATTTTGAAAGTACGATAAAAAGTGGGGTGGGCGTACACTCTGTATACGAAGTCAAGATTAAGCGACGTCAAGCCAGCTTACGATCTATTATCTCCACCCATATAATTTGCCATCCATACGCACAGTGTATAGGCGGGCTCTGTACTAAATTGTATACCTAACCCCATAACGTTCCTTGTAGCATTATCGCCTGACACTCCCTGACTCTTAGATGTTCTCGTGGGTTCGCCCTTGGACTCCAGTGGTAAGGTGCACTTGCGAGTTATTGATATTGCATAATCATTTTATCATTTGATATTACACGCAAGTATATTACGGGGGGTGTAAAGTAAAGAAAAAAAAGAAAAAAAAAAAAAAAAAACTTATGGGAAAATCATTTTATCATTTGATATTACACGCAAGTATATTACGGGGGGTGTAAAGTAAAGAAAAAAAAGAAAAAAAAAAAAAAAAACTTATGGGAAAATATTATTATGGGTGTTTCTTATGGTATTTCCAAGAGCATGGAATATATTTTCCTACTTAGGGATGAGTTTTTTAATTTTTTTAAGGGCGCTATCTGAAAACTTGTATAAACTTAAAAGTGTTAATGTCTCACGTGTGTTATATACAGGGTGGCCCAATAACTTTGTCCACCCCGAATATCTCTGTTATTTTTAGAGATATAGAAAAACTGTATCTATGAAAGTTGTATGGTTCGATGGGGGTCATAATATGCATGTAATAGTTTTTTTCTAGGCGAAGGCGTTTTGAAGATTTCAAGGTCATTTCCATTTTTTCAAATGGCACGCTATATTTTTGTATTCGTAATAAAATAGCAGGTATTTAGACGATTACAATGACCCCTCATACATGGTAATTCGATAACAGGAAATAGGGTAAAACAGAGTGACTTACGTTACAACAAATGCTCGAAGTGATGACCATCCGCATCGATGCAAACGTGAAGTAACGTCACACGTGGAAGTTTTATTTGATATTGAAACGAGATTAGATGCCACGTGGGTCTTTTTCTGATATCGTGCAGAGCTCACGTTTTCCGCTGATCGAATTCGATGGCTATTGAATAAGGGTGGGTTCCTTCTACGCCGGAGTTTGTTTCCACCTGGTGAATCTACATAGGATTGCAAACCGATTGTTAGCAGGACGGAGGGTGCGTCGTGGCAGGCCGCGACTCGGCACGAGGGGCGGAAGACACCTGTCCTCATCCATACATGGAAATTCACCCTCGCGGGGCGACTGGCTGCCTTTGGACATGAGGACAACGCCGCCGGCCATGCCGGCCTTTCGTGGCTTCGAGGAATCCTCGTCGGACGGAGTGGTGAGTCTTGATACTTCATCTTCTCTTTTGCGCGATATTTACTAATTTACATAATTATACAACCTTCGTATTTCAATTTTCGTTAAAAAATATTGCCATATATATATATGTATGTCAATTTATCATTTTACCGATTCGCCCCATACGTATCCTCAGAGTCTCCGCGGTAACGGCGGTAAGCCCTCGGGCTAACACAGATAGAACCCTGAGATAATAGATTCTGCGGCTATATCGATCTTCCATTAATCAGCCACCTACAGGATCAAGACGTGGAATTAGTTGGGCAAATGGCTAATTAGCACGTGTTTCGCATATATCCTGGCGAACGTGAAATATTTAAAGACGCTCGTGATGGCAGGGAGTATCTTTTTTTTTTTTTCAAAATTACCAGAACTGCCTATATTTCCTTGAAGCGTGACTAGAGAAGGCGAGAGGATAGGGGAAAAAAAAAATAATAGTAACCTTCGACCTCGCTCCAATAAAGTATCCCTAAGCAATCTCAGTCCACGCGTATCGAAAAATTGCCGATAATCGAAGTTCCGAGCGTTGAGATACGCGAGAAGTTCAATCCTCGTTTCTCGATGGAAAATGAGTTTATTCCGTGGGACATACAGGAGGGTGGTGGAGGGGGAGGGGGGGGATTTTCGCAACCCCCTGGGAAAACTTTCGGGTTTTGGGAAGCGAATCAGATTTGTCCGTCCTGTAGTTGTTGATTTTTCCTTGAAATTAAAATAAAGGGGTTATCCGGCTGCTGTTTACTCAAAATTAAAGACAAGGGAAAGTGGAGTTGAAATTAAAAGAAAAATTTTTGTTTTCACCCTAGTCCTCGGTACTATCTCGCAAAAGTAATTATTCTCTCGCGGGGTGGCTGCGCCTTATTCCACTTACCTCATTTTCTCTTTTTCATTTTCTCGTTCTTTTTTTTTTCTGTTCTCTTTTTTTAACTTTCTTTTCGTCCCTTATTCTCCACAGGATTTGTTTAACAATCGTCCCGCGAAGTCCACGGGGTTAATCACGGGTTAATTACGGGACTAACTGATTCTCGTAATCTTAATCGTCCCTGCGGCGTGAAAACGCGTCTGTTTGCGTCCCATAAGTCATTAGCCGTTTCTTCCTAGGGAATTTCTTATTACGGGGGGATTTCGTCTATATGCATCCTTGGGGTTCCGAGTTACCGTCAGTTCTTATCTCTCGGCTCACTCGGAACTTAGTTACCGACTTTCCAGCAAGAGTATCGTGACGTCATCCAAAACCTCCTTTTGCTAGTGGGCGTCGCCCGGTCGCCCTTAGGTCAGTCTCACTTGGAGACTTGAGAAGCGTCAGGTACCCAGGACGTCCCTTCCTCCAGTATATTCATTCAACGTCAGTATCCCATAATGCCTCCTCGTTATTCGCCATATAGTATCAGTTACAAAATTTAGCGGGAAATTTGAAAGGCCAATATTACCGTCGCTTGCCAAGATTAACCCCTTGAAGGATATAAAATAAAAATCGCGAATACATATATGTATATATAGGTAATAAAGACAGTGAATACCCGTTTTATGGGAAATATCCAAAATTACGTCCCATATACATTCGGCTATTCATCCCTTAGGAATGCACGTAAAAATCCGTCTGATTATACCTTCGTATATTTTTTCCTCTCCTTGTCTTCACTCCCCCCTCATCCCCTTCCCACACGCTCCTCGAAATTGTGAGGCGATTTTTCAGATTTTTTTTCTCGCCCAATCTCCTTCGGCTCGTTAAAAAAAAAAGTCACCCCTTTAATTCGGCTATTGTAATCATCGACGCGGAGGCCTCTCGTCGCTCCCGTGTTGGACCCTGATACATTTTTCTCGTGCGAAACTGGAAACAACCGTTGGTGATAGAGAAGTGAAAATACTAGGAATCTTTTCTATGGAAAAAAAAAAGGACAGAAGAACTGAATTCAAAAGCATACGACTGTGCGTGACTATGAGGGGTGGGTGGGAGGCGAAGAAAAATTACAGAGAAAGAGAACAAAAAAGTTTCAAAGTTTCTCGACGTAGGTGGAGCCACAGTGCCTGACAATATCTATATATGTACCGACGTCTACCTTTCTGCGTTAGAGAATACAAGGCGTAGACTATAGAAAAATTTCACTCAGGCAACTTTGCCGTTCTCGCTACTTCGTCGCCACGCTTGGGGCCCCTGGCTTCCCCCCCTTTTTTTTCTTAATTGACAGCTTTTATTATTTGCACTGCATTGTAACTCGATTCCGTTAGTGTAGTGATATTTTTTTTTTTTTTATTCACTCTCCCTTCTCCAATTTCCATTTTCCTTTACGTGCCTGACTTCCTCGCAATCTCTACCGCTCGATTTCACGGACTAACGTACTATCGTAGTTCGCTATACGAAGACGATGAACCTTTTGACTTTTACAAGTTGACGACCATTTTCTTAGAAGTCGAAAGAAAAAAAAGGTCTCGTCGACTCTTCACAACGATCGTTCGTTATAATTGATACTGGTGTGAATTTTTCACGTGGGCTGGCAAAAACTCTGTCTTTGTATTATCATCTCGTAAATACACATGCGTGTCGAATATTATTTTGTTTTGATAAAGTACAAGAAGATTGATAGGAGGGGAGAATGAAGCCAGGCTAAGGTACTCTTTATTCTTTTCTTTTTTTTTTTTTTTTTTTTTTTTTTTTACAGGACCCAATACCAAGTACTCTTTATTCTTTTCTTTTTTTTTTTTTTTTTTTTTTTTCTTTTACAGGACCCAATACCAAACGTAGTACGTACATCGACTGGATATGATTTTGATTCCAATAACTGCCCAAAGCAAACGTGCGGTTAATAGGTAGCTCGAAACATATCACCCTTCCATACAAAACATATGACTCTTTCACACAAAACATGTCACCCTTTCATACGAAATCGTATTTCACGGTTCAATTCCATCTGCCAATTTACTTTTACGTCTATACGTGCATATTACAGTCATACCACGAAATTATGTACCGAATGGTTCCGCGATAGACGTTAGTCAAGCGGCTGGAAAAATGAAAGGAAAAAAAAAAAAAATTGAATTACTTCCAAGGTCATTTTTCAAATTACGAGTTTCAGTCTCCTTTGGTCACTTTATGTATCGTCCTTGATCCTCGCTGGTTTTCTTTATTGAAACAATCGGACCCATCGCGCTTTCCCAGGGTAGCTCGCGAAGAATGGGGTTAAAAATGGAAAGGAAAAAAATATGAGGGAAAAAAAAGGTATATTAATAAGGGGCAGCAAGAGAGAACACAGAGGGAGAAACGAAGTGAGGTAGACCGAGGAGTTTTTCTGTGAGGAAGACAAGGACAGCCGGATTCCTCGTGCATCAAGAATAGCCAAGGGTACGACTGGCCATTATCCTTGCGCAAAGTTAAGTCCCGTTTACACAGGAGTAATCCTTTCGGGGATGCTGGGAATGCTCCTTTTTGTAGCAACACGGTTACTGCGCCCTGGAGAGGCACGAGCGACACGTGTACGGTCTGATTAGACGTTTGAATTTTGGCATTTGATAAAACTTTGTAATCAGACTGTACATCTTGTGGCTATATATTAGTTTGTATGTATAGATTATTTATTGAGGATAATTAATTAACAAGATCCTTGCCGATCAGCTATCTTTATTGATTACTTGCGAACAATAATCTCGCGGCATGAAGTTTGATTGTTTTTCAAAATTGTAATCGACGCTTTTGAAAATTTCGAGTGCATCCGTCTATCGCGTTATCTATGGTCTTGCGTTATCTATCCGGTTGGATTAGGTTATGTATGCGAAAACTTTTAATACAGAAGGATCATACCGAACTTTCAATAGAGTTCGCTGTGGGCTTATACGTTACCAGTAGTTTCTAGAAGCTTCGAGAACTGGAAGAATTTTTCAGGACTTTCTTTACTTACACAAGCAGTACCAAACTTGGCGGACGCCGAACGACCGATGAATTCACTCGGATCCATTCTGCATCGTTTCACTTCGTAGTTTCGTCGAATTTAGTATATTTGATATAGGATATGCTTTGCGACCCTTTTCTTTGGTGTGTACTCTTCGCAGCATTACTGTATACACAGGGTGTATGTATATACGTATATTGTTATCTGTCAGGTAGTCGGATACCCGTACCCGATATAATTGGCAATGCTTAATTTATTTGATGAAAAATCAGCATATCTGATAAAGGCAAAAACCAATATGGCCGTTTACAGTCCTTTGTGACTTTTTTAGGCGAATTCCACAGTGACTCCAATTTCAGGTTTTGAAATTCCCTTATCAATATTTATACATTCTCAGGTGGCACAATGCAAGAATTTTTATTTACACGACCAGATTACGCTTGCGTCGTTTATTGGCGTTGTGTAGATAATGAAAAAAAAAAATTATTTCATATCATTATATTTCTAACGTTACCGCAATACGTAAAACTTGACTGCGTGCCTGCAGTAGAGAAAAAAAGAATTAAAAAGACAATTTGTCTCGTATATGAAATTTAGAAGGTAATTAATTTGAAAAGAGAAATTTTCATATGCCATTATTATATAGTCGGGTGTTTTGATTAATGGTTCGAATTTCGAGCAGCTGTAATTAATTGGTTCTGATTAATGTTCCAAACCTTCTTCGTAGTTGGTAGTATTACAAAATAGTTCCGTAAACGATGCCGCATCGATACTCGATGGGTTATTAAATACCATAAATACTCGTCAGCATACTTCATAAAGGGTTTTTATTTGGATCGGTCGTTTTTATTGGTTTAACTTTATTCGACGAACTACAATAAACAGTTATTGATATAGGTATTCAATCGATAATCAATCGTTAGACCTCGTTACGCGATAAGAAAGAAGAAATTACAGCGATAACACGCTTAATATCAGAAATCGAAGAACCAACAAATATAACGACAAATAATAAAGTTTGTTTACCATTTAAAAATATCCATCTCTTTTCCATTGGTAATTCAGCTAAGTGTCGCTGATCGCTTTCACGGCCCTTTTTTTTTGTAGAGGGCCATCGATAAGGGAGAAATAAAAAAAATTTTCTGATAATTCAAAAAACGCCACGGGTACTTAAGCACGTATAAGGGGCGAACGAGAAATGAAGCTGCAATCTCGCGATCAAATAATATTTTAATCTGGTCAGGCTTAACAGTTTTTTATCAAGAGGGTTGAAAAATCAAATTCACAAAAAGTGCGTTTGCTTCGTCCCCCAGTCTGACTACGTATCTACTACCCTACCCGCTACTACCCTACTAAATTATTCTTCGCCAATTAACTCCCGTCCGATTAAGAAATCTCGGTCTATATATTTATCGTAATACCAAAAAATTAGTTCTGGCAGTGCACAGAGGTATTAAGGTAAAGAAAAAATATATTTCATAAATACCCAACGAGGCTTCTGTATATTAGCAGGGTGAATAGCGAAGTCATTATATCAGCCATATATTGTGTATATATATATATATATATATATGGCTATTCTGAAAAGCATATAAAAAAGGAATGTGGATTGATAATCAAAATCCTTTCATGGTCTTCCACCTTGTGATTTATGACGTGTACAGTATATGTAAAGTGTATGTAGATAAGAAAGCTATACGTACCTGTGATTAGAATAGCCATGGTAAAACGTTACGAAGGCGCCAGTATGGTACTAATGTCACTTGGGTTATTAATTAGCTGGGTTAATGGTCGATTATCCTATCAGCACCTCAGACGATTAGTCAGGGCTGTCGAGCATTAACCGTTGCCCTATGGTATCTCAGTATAATGTTTAGAAAGCTTCTTACGCGAGTTGCGCATAACTTTCCTTAGCCCATTGTCTCCTCTAATCTCTTGGTAATTTCCTAAAAGTTCCCCTCGGTATTCCGGGTTATTCGCGACAAACGCAACAGCTGACGTTGGACGCAATCGTACGATTACGTTAGTCGAGACGGCGGGACCTTAAACGAGTGAAATATTCCGAGGCTCCCGATATTAATAATCACCGATCTGCGGCCAACTTCAGCTGGTACGTATATCGCGAGTAATCCTGACTGTAGAATTTAACCTTTTTTTTTTTTTTCGTTCACGAAAAGCACATATATCCCAATCACGCTAACTTGCTTTTTCATTTTGGTAAAAAAAATGTATGCAAGGTTTCAATCGAAATTTGGCAAAACTTCGGTGCGAACGAGCTGGACGATGCGGAGTTTGTACTTTTTAAAAATAAAAAATACATTTTGAAATTGCATTCTTTCGGAATTTTGCAACCTTTTTTTTCGCGCGTTGCTTTAGTAATAAAAAAAAAGTTTTGCGATACACGATTATTATTATTTTTCGTTAATCGATAGTAACCTCGATATACATTGAGAGGATGGCGGATGAAAATAATATTTTGAAATTTCAATTCGAATTGGTTTTAATAATTCCATTTCAATTTCCACCGATACGTATCGATCAACGTCGACCTTAATCTCGTTGCGTCACTCCTGCAATTCGTCACCGATAGCCAAATAACACCATGCGGTACGATGTGCACGTGCAGCGACAAATCTTATTCGATTCCTGGCTGCATCAACGAAATTTCAATTAATACAATGACTAAACGTATATAGCGATTTGTCGTACGTGGCTAAAGCGTCGCCGTAAACCCACGAGAGATTCGCAGGCTCGATATAACCTGAGCTCGTAAATTCGTTTCCCCGGAAAAAAAAAAAAATGAAGCAAGGGATAAAACAAAGGGTGGTTAATGTTTGCCCGTTTGAAAATTCATCAGCCAGAAAATGGAATATTCAATGGAATTTTGATATTTACGATAGAAGCAGATCTCCCTGTACACGCAGACCCGTACGAGGGATTACAACGATTTTATGCCGAGGCAGCCGACGTCCGTCATAATGAATAAACGAGCCATTACGTTTACAAGCTGTCATTACTAGGCAGTACCCGCTATACTGGTAGAAAAAGTAGAATTCCCCGCTAGTATCGTTTCTCCAATAAATCTCAGCTACCCGTCCCATCCCGCGAACCTGTGCTCTACGAAACTCGGTCAAGGTCGACTTTACAAAATTCTCCCAAGAAACTCACTCGTTTTATCCCGACATCCTGTTAACATGTTCGCAGGTGCACCTGGGCGAAGGCATCGCCGTTTGCGAGGAACAGCTGCGAGCCGTCAAATGGAGTGACTATCGAAAGTTAACCAGAGGCCTGGCAGCGATACTATTCAGCCCTACGGAACTGGCAACGTGTTCCGTGACGGGACAGCGTTGGAGCCGCGCCGGAACCGCGACGGAACGACCGGTCAAACCAGCCCTGGACAGAGCCAAGGTTCAGGCTATCATATGTAAGAGAAATTCAATCATATCAATCGCACGTGGTTTGCGCTGACGTTTATTGAAATTTTTTTCAAAATTTTTTCTACATCAATTCGAACTTTCAAATGAAATTTTGAATTTTTCCTAAGTTTCGGCCGATCGTCCAAATTCGTATCGCGTAATACCGGCTTAACAGTCGATTCTCTAACGGTTTTGGATTATTACTGGTTCATTGCAATTTTTCATTTAACCATCAACCAAGTATCGCGTCAGGTTGGTACAGTGGATGAGGGAGGGAAAGACGATAAGCAGTAGAGGGAAACAGGCCGTGATGCTGATTCGTGTTAGGTTAATACAGTACGTGATATTTCGTACGAGAATTTACACGGGATTTCCATTCGGTTTTGACTTTTCACCCTGTGACGTCACTCTCGTCCTAATCAATTGACACGTTTCCGGCGACAACTTAACCTACCCGAAATTTCCACTTTTCGAGACGAGAAACTTTCCGTATGGCAGTTAGGGCTTAAGCTAAAGCTTCTGTTAGACACGTCAACGTCGTGTTATCTTTATACGGCGGAAAGCGGGTATAACAATATGTACCTACGAGTACGTACTTGTGTATCGTAGTACCGAGGGACACGCTATTCGAACGTAAACTTACTTTTGAGTTGGCGACTCACGAGTTCTTGAGACTTTAGCGACGCATGAGTTCTCCTACATTAGTTGTTATATATACGACTATCGTGTGGATTCGTACAGTGGCTGGAAGGACGTTTCGTATCGGCGATTTATCGTCTGTCAAAACATTTAACACGCGTCAGTGCAATCTGAATATCGTAAACCGGATTGCATATACCTTATCTCGGTGTCTGGTAAGGGAAACAGCTAGAAGCTACTGTTTTGATTGTTTTATTAATGATGGAAGATCGTGAATCATTAGTCACTCTTAGACTAGTTGTGAAACGAATACGCGACTAGTATGCTCTTCTCTCTCCCTCTTGTCCTTTATATACTATATTCTGTCTATCCGTCTCTCTCTAACTCATTCTAAAGTCTGTCACAGTAGTCTCGTATATAACAGCGTTGTATGACTTATCGTTCGCAGCTGAGAGAACGGGCTTGAGATCGTATGAAATGGGACATGCGAAATTGGCTGACTGTACCATCGAGTAGAAATATTAAATTATCTTTGACTTTTTCGTAAAAGTAAATCAGGCTTCTTTTTTCATTGTAATCCTTCGCCCCTTCATCTCCAACGTGGACCGTGGAGTGTACCCGAAGATCGGTGAACCGAGAAGTTCATGAAATCGAACCGATCGATCAATCGATGACTCGTGCAATTCGATTCGATGCCTCGTTTCAATGCGAAGCTTTTATTAAATCGGAACAATCGAGGTAGAATGCAAAATTTATTGCAAAAAAAGTATATTGTTACCAAAAAAAAAAAGAAAAAAAAATGTACTTCCCTATTTGAAAGTTGGCATCGAATGCGAATTATTCGAACGGCATTCAAACTATAATTTCATGTTTTAATAGACACGTATGGATGGAGGTTAGGACTTTTTTTTTTAATGCAAAATAATTTTAAAAAATTGTTCTTATCAAACTTTCGTATTTCCATGCTCACTGCTTTATTCAGAGAATCTCGAAATATTCAAAGTTACTTTTCCAGTTTATATAGCAAACTTCACTCTCTACGTGATTGCATCCCTAACTGCACATTTACACTGCAGGTTGGGTACGAAAAATGACTGCAACTGCTGCAAAAGTTTCTTCAAGTGCTTTCTTTCTCTTTATGTGTTTGCGCATATATATATATATATATATACATATATATATAACTTCGGGGGACTAGTACCCTACCACGCGCGCCAAGCATTTGTCCCCCGAGCGCCTCGAGCGGAACTCGCAAAATTTAGGCGTTTTTTCAAATTAAAATGTAACCCCTTAGCGTACTCGTATTTGGATGTTTAAAAGCGCGTTTTAATCGTTGAAATCTCAGCTACAACGTGGATGAAAATGAAACTTCTATTTCATCGCTTTCCTAATGAAAAATGGCGGGGAAGCTTCGGGCGCGCTTGCGAAATCTCGAGATCTCTGTCACGGGATCATCTCCGAGAACAATAATTTTGTGAGAATCTGCAGTATCATTAAAGATGATATCATGCAGAAACTGGACCAGATTGGCCGGCGCGTTCGGAAGTTATGGCCATTTAAGTGTTTTCACTTCAAGGGGGTGTAACTCCCCCTAGAGTGATCCTACAGGGGTTCAATGGGGGTGTTTTTTTATTGCCGAAGGATGCTCTCTCTCGTTCCCTGATTAGAAATATAAATTTCCTTCCGGAACTACTAGATCTCGAAATTTTCAAAAAGTTCAAAAATGCACTTTTTCACTCCAACCCCTGCCATTCGGCCATTTTGTATCCGATCGGGATAAAACCTTTACCATTCGAACGGGAAGGAAATTTCCTAAAAAATATATCTTTGGTTTTTTTAAAATCGGTCATAGTTTCGTAGAGACACACAAAAATTAAAGTGTTCCACTTCAATTGCGCATTACTGTATATATACACACATACGTGTTCTCACCGTATTTTCAATGGTTAAAATTAGATAACTTTAAAAAAAATAATTTCCTGACTTAGCTAAAGCAATACCTTGTTGATTAAAAAAATTGATCGAGCTATTCCGTGATCTATGGATCAATCAACGGATTACCAAGCTTTGCGTAAAATAAGTCAAAAATAATTGAGGGAACGAAGCGGATCACTGGTTGTGTCAATCTAACCCAACCTGTCATCCAATTTGAAATAATAAAAATAATCATTCAATACCAAATAATTATCTACAAATTTGCATTTACAGTTAATTAATTATCGGTAAATTATTTTAAACGTCAATAATCTATTCGACAAATTGTGTTTCGATCAATTGCATCCAAGCAACTATGCATCTCGATGAAAAATACATTAAACAAATTGCTTTTCGATTGATTGTCACTCGATCTATTGTTTTCGATAAACTTTCCGCACACTCGTTATGGATTGTACGACAACGTGAATTACCTATCGGCCACGCGATTTTCATGAAAAGCATAACGACAGGACAGACTATGTAAAACAATATGAAATTCAATTAATTTAACGTAATGGGTTAATGAAGCAAGAGAAAATGGGAAGAAAATGTATTTTAGGACATAATTTTCTCGGTTCTAAATTCGAGTCAGCAAAGCTGAAAATCCAGTAGCTGACTGACTCGTGGTTATTAGGGCAGCTAAGGACTCTGAGCAGTTGATAAACAAAAAGAAATAGTTTGAAAGCTCCGCAAGAGCACCCTTGTACCTCGACAGAGCTCGACGAGTGCAGGGCGCGTGGTAACCCGGTGGGGGGGGGGGGGTTTGGGCGATGGACCTGTAAGTTTTCTGCTCGTTGAGAAACAAATTTCAAACGTCAAAGCTCTCGTATAACTTGTTTATGCACGGCAACGCCATCTGGCGACGCGCGGACGTGACTTTAGCTTCAGGATACGTTAACCGTTACGGTTGCTATTACTTTGCTTTGAAAATCTTTATAATAACGATTCTAGACCTTGTTCCTGTGTACAATGCATTACGTACTTGATGAAGGAGCGAAAATAAAGGGTGACTGGAAAACACGTAGGCAATTTATGGTTTACGCGCGTGTTAAGTACCCTGGGTATATATTCTTGCCTGTAAACGTCCTGTGTATGAATATTTCGTATAATACCAGGGAAGTGTATCTAGACGACTAATCAGAACTTTATTGTGGATCAAAGGAACGTAATTAATTTTTTCGCGAGGGATAGGGCTGTTTCGAATTTCTTTTTTCACGTGAAAAATAAGATTGTGGTTTTTTAATTAAAAAATTAACGAACCCGAGAACTCGTTAAAAATCTGTAAATGAAATTTTCAATTTTATCGTCTCATCCGGCCGAAAAAAAAAAGTCGAGGCAAAAATTTCATTCTCACTTCCCTTTTTTCGCGTCGTCGACTCTGGCGGGATAATTCCGCGAATGAGCAGGGAATCGTGTATTGATACAGGGTAGAAGCGAGGAGAAGAGAAAAAAACAGGAAATACCGTTACGTAGATAGAAGCTAGTATTCGATTCGGAATAAACGACACGTCGAATTTACGGGCTGGAAGACAGTGGCGATTATACGTTTCGCGAAAACCAAACGGTTACGGCTTGGAATATCGATATCGATAGAGAAACGTGGTTTTATTTACGGTAGAGTGTTTATCGGTCGAAAAAAAAAAATGCATTTCTTTCGTGTGAAATCTTTTCGATATTTTCTGCGGAAATATTATTCATTCGTATTATGGATTCGACCAAGTGAAAATGGTAAGAAAAAAATTTTTTAATCTAATTCACCCCATATTTCCAGTGACAGAAATCACGTCGAGTAATAAGAAGACATTAAGTTTATTGAAAAATATTTTTTTATAATAATTCCATATATTTCGTTATGGACTAAAGTATAATGGTATTATCATACCGAATAGCTCTTATATGCCGCTATTCAAGATTATGGGCAGTACGGTAAATTCTTATTGTTTAGGTAAAATGCTGGAAGCGCAAACGTCCGTGCTTTATGTAACGATAGATATGGCACGTGGTACTTTGTTTAAAATGAAATTTTTTATTGTCCGAGATTTTTTATTACCTTCAGGAAAGCATTGCGTAAGGATTTCTTTGTTTGTCTTGGGGCTTGCCCGATAACGTATTTAATGACATATTTATTTGGGCAATTCCACGGGCAATGTACGATTTCCACGAAGTGAAGTGAGGAAGCAAATGAAATTCAAGTGGAAAAATATTGATGCCTTTGAAATGTTGGCAACATTGCGAGATCCGCAAGGGTAGACGAATTTGTGCCGTTTGCAATTTTATTTTGATCGATCTTCTATCACCGCAACGACTCCTTGCGTTTGCCTTGAATTTGGAATTACGCCAAGTCGATCGCTTTATTGGCGGTTTAATGTAAATATTGAAAACGCTTAAACATTGCGAAGCTCGATTGCCAGTCTTGTGCAAATATTTAATTTGCCAACAAGACACATATATCTGTGAATTATACCTTTGTTTTTGTTTACCGAAAGTTTCACAGCACCATATGCTTTTGGCAATATTCAAAATTTCGCAATGACTGGTAATCGGCCCGTATTGCGAAAACAAAAAATCGAGAAAGATCGATACAAGAAAAAATTGGATTCGTCAAGATTGAAAATATAATCATAATATCCACGAAGCATCAGTGCATAATCATTATACGTGCAAAAATCCATTTATAATAATTAAACGCGAATCGCAAAGCTGATATCGAAATGACAAATTTTCAATAAGATCGAATCCTCGTGAGCAACGTGAAAAAAAAATTATTCAATAAAAATTTCCACTAATTATTAACCTCACGCTTTGTCTTGGCTAGAAACTAAAACTCGTGAATTTTACGTGGATTCTTGTACATTTAAAAATTTTTCGCTTTTCACCCAACATTACCATAAATAAGTTGCGAACCCATAAGAAATTCGTTGGCGAATCTCAAGAAAAACGAAGTGGCATGTTAAAGCATCGAAAAAGCACGTGTTTTCAATGATCAATCAAATCACTGACTAAATCCGTATTACAACGCCAGGTTTACGTCTGCTGAATAAATTTCCTACAAATTTCGCCTCAGTCGGTTCTTCCACGAATGCGCAGGTATACTTACATTCGCCGTCGGAATAATGCGTAGGGGTTTAATTGTGTTTCAGCCTACGTGACGTCGAGGTTTCCATCGGTGGACGTGAGTAGCGTCAAGCAAGTTTTGGCTTATAAGTGCAAGGAAAATTCTACAGCCCTTAAGATGAAATCCATTCGATACATCTGGTAAGTTGTTTTTCTTTTTATTTTACTTTTTTTTTTTCTCTCCCCCTGTGAGAAGCATCTGAGAACCCTCAGCGAGGGAGAAAAAACAGATTGAATACAGGCGGAAGTTAAATTTCAATAAAGACAAGAACCACTTACGATAAGCTCATTTACTTTTTCCCATTTGAATTGATGGGCTTCGATTTAACGTCAAATAGGGAACCACGTGGCAAGTGTATATCTACATACACATGTAGTTACTAGATTATCCTAAAACAGTATTGGTAAAATAAATTTGAGTTGTAAAATAAAAAAATCTTTGCCAATGACTCCAAACGGTTAAATGAACCAGACAAGTGAAGCTGGAGCGCGATTTTCCAGTTAATTGAGCTGATCAATGAATAAAGGAATATTTTTCCACTTTGCCACGACACGAAAGAGGCAAATAGAGCGAATGGTAAATAACTTAATAAAAAAAAAAAAAAAGCGACTCTTGGCCGTACCATGAAGCGAGTCTGCGGGAATCGAACTGAGAGAAGAGCAACATCTAAACTGTATTGCCCTTAATATTTCATTGTGATCCGTTTTCAAGTTTAAGCCGTGAATATTCAAGAGACTCGTGTATCCATTCAATATTACAAAAGGAACCTGACTGGGTACAGTCTCACAAATTTATCAGCGGTATTCGACCTTACGAAATTCAGCCGTCGCAGCGTTCCATTTACTTCTTCGTTAAAAAGTCATTCAGACGGACAAATCTTGATTCTTCAAACGATTCGCTATTAAATAGGAACGAACGGTACAGTCTCGTACCCTCGATTTCGATTACTCAAAGGACGATGGAAACTAAATTAATTTTATTAAAAAAAAATCCAATAGATCTGTCCTGAAAATTCTATAGAAAATTCAGTATTACTCGGACAATGAATACGTTGGCAATCAATGGTTGACCATATTCCCAATAGTCAGATTTGTCCGTGCGACGTGGAATTTGAAAAAAAAAAAAAAAGGACCGGATGTCAATATTGGATTATCGCCTTTGGATATACAGATATATATGCATGCAGCATATATTTGCGAAATGGGTCGACGCTGTTGATTACCAGAAAAAAAAATTGGCACATTCGAAGCGATTCCATCCCTTGTCGAGTGTGAAGGAGAGATAGGGGTAAATGGCGTGATTCTTTTTTTTCTTTGCTTTTTTAGAAAAATATTGAACCAACCTTTTCGTTTCTCTCAAGATGGGGCTAACGTGGTCGAATAAGACTCGTTTACACAGTGACTACGATAAAGACTAACGACGCTTTGAATTGCTAATTCGTAAGAGGGACGCGAGCTTATATGAATGTTTTATTTTCCATGCTCGATCGAACGGTCGTGAAAAATTTTCCGAGAGGATATCAGGATCTACGTGATAACGTTGAAATCTATTATATAATTGCCATTCGCAATATAGCATATCTCAATAGCAATGCTATAGTTGAAAATCAATGAAGTCTCGAAAGGTACGGCTGACAGAGAAAAAGTATGCAACAGTCTCGTGTGTCCCATAGGACATCAGCTAAGATAAACGTCCCGTACGTGGGACAGGAGAAAAGAATCGAAGGCTTCGGTATTAGCTGAAACGGCAGACCCGATCTCAGGGGAAAACTTCTTCAGGCATCCGTGGCTTGCACGACAGTGGGACTGTCATTTGGAATCTCGGACAATTTCAAGAAATCGTTACTCCCGTCGAACTTGTCTCCGATAATTCGATCGTAACTCGAGAATCGTATCCCTGTAAGCGAGAAGCGCAATTAACGAAGGGCAATTATGAAAGATAGTCTGGGAACAGGATTCGCGTGATTTGAGTGAAAAATAAAAATTAGGGTTATTTCGATAGGCTAACGATAATTGAGATTTATAAACGTACCATGACAATCCTATTGACCCTACGAACGATATCCGTTTCAGCGAACGCCAAGACACGGACACTTCGCCAAGGGCCGAATCCGAGGATAAGTGAGAGATGGCGCTGGGTGCGTGCAGGGTGCAGCAGTCACCCGTCCTGCTACGTCGCGTCCTCCCGCACCCTGGACCAAACGAGAAGGAACCATCGGCCGAGATCCAGTACGGCCACCCGGGGGACGATCAGCATCCTCCCCGGGATAACCAGGATGGGAATCGCCGCCAGCCTCCATCATCCACCCTGCAATCATCTCAGACGTCACCAACAAGACGACCGTACGAAACGCTAGCAGAGTCCTCGTTAATGACGTCATCGTACACAGCAGTAGGGAGTCCTGCAACAGCAACAGCGACTACAGCTGGGAACAGCAACCCTGGCTCGATAGGTGGTCTTATGAGACTTCACGCGATTCATCGTGCACTTCAGGCGACTCTGCATGCAGCTGCGTCTGCCGCAGCAGCCACTGCAGCCGCCAGCGATTATTTCTGAGTCTCTAGCCTGATGTACCAAACTTTTGGCTCCTGCCGTACGGGATTATTTCACGTGGGTGACGTAAAGAATGGGAATTATCCGGGCGAAAGGGGCGCACGGAACTCTACCACCTTTTGGTACAGCGTCGTATCGTCGCTCCCGCTGATACTAGCGGATACGATGCTGGGTACTACACTGTTGATACAGTACTCTGACGTCATACGTTATTACTCCTGTGGTATACTACGGTTTAATATTGTACGTTTAAACTGCGGCTGATTACACGAACGAGAATAGGGTTTCGGAGGTTGAAAATATTTCAACTTCCGATTAGGTACGGACTGTTTCATTTTGCTGTATTAACAGCACGACATCGTACTGGCTTATGAGCATTAGGTATATCCAGCTGGATGGATTGTAAGATAAAACAATTGCGTGGATCGCTTAGGATATCTCATGTTTTTTGGGGATGCCTCTTATTATCAAGGGGCTGTGTACAGTGTTATACAATATTAGGCCTTTCGGTGTCTTCTAAGCAGTCTAGGTTGAAATGGATAGGAGACAGAACGTGATACGTAACCATGGAGACTGGTGTATTTCTCCCTCCCTTCCTTCCTCCCTCCCTCCCTCCCCACCTGTAATACCGATTAACGAGACTGACAGATTTGATCTTTGGTCTTGCACTTTAGTCGATCTTTTACTAGGATATTGTGAACTAATTCGAGAATTCATTTTTTTTTTTTCGTCGAATTTAATGTGTACAGTGTTATTAGCCAATTGCGTTACGTCACTTTGCGACTCAGTTTCAGCCTAGAGTGACAGATGCACTGTTCGTGGTATAGGGCAAGGGGTTAATAATCGAAAATCAATAGCTAGTCCGATGCATCCTGTGCAACTTGAAGTGCAGGCCTAAGAGTGATGAATAAGATGAGGAAAGTGCAAATAAGGAAGAAACGTTGCGAATTTCTCTCGCGATTGCGATTTTGTCAGACGCGTCAAATGCATCTGGTCGGCGGACGGTAAAGAGATCGTAGAAGAATCCCGATTTTTGGATATAAATTTTTTTTATATTTCAATACTCGTGATCCTTCTTTATTTATTTTTCTATTTACTCGTGCATATATGTATACTCGCTACGCATATGTGACTTTCATTGCTGCTTGCATGCGTCTAGTCTATCTACTTTGTTCTGTATAGCACATGCAACGTCATAAACAGAAGCCAGGAGTCAGTGAGCCATATATTCGGATAGCTGTGTAATGGTCAGACTGGTGGGTTTAGTGGCCGCGCTGCATTTCCAGTTCAGTAATACGCTGGGAATTTGAAATTTCCTTATTTCACGATCGCTCGAATATTCCCCTTGTGGTTGTTGGATGCAGTTGATGCGGATTCGTCCAACCTAACCTAACCTCAACCACGTATAGAGAGCTTAGAGATAAACCGCAAATTCGCCAGATTACAAACCCACGATCTTCTCGTTGACCCTCTGACGTCTCATACTCAATAACGTATCCTTTACACGCCGACCTTATTTCCTTGCGGCGGTATAACGCAACGTGAAACGTAATTCAAGAAGAGAGATGAAAAAAATTAACAAGAGACAGACAGAGAGATTGATAAAAAGGGTATGGAGAAAACAAACGAAACTCCCGCGGCTTCGTGCAATTTTCTCTAGACACGCGAGAGAGAACTTCGTAACGTTTTTTCTTCGCCGTGGCCAAACAGGAATAATACCAAATAAAAGAGAGAGAGAGAGAGAGGGGAAAGCAAAGATATATCGAAAGAAGATTAAAAGGTGAAGCGTGAAATTTGATAACACGAAAATTGACGATATAGTGTAACGATATATTGATTGTGCAATAGAAAGTGACCGTGGCGATTGAAAATCGTATACGGGAACGTAACTCGTCGACGGAGATCTTATGGGCCTAAGGGGATTTTAACGAAGTGGCGGATCGAAGGAAGAAAAAAGAAAGGAAGGAAAAGGCTTAACGCAATGGGACAAATCTCGAGACGAGGTGATACAAAAATACACGAGCTTTTCAGGCTCGCTGCGTAAACGAGAGAATTTATTATGTGTACAGTCTCAGTTGAAATTGTATAAGAGTCGGCGGGACAGCAGTTCGCTCTGAGATAAGTAAATAAATAAATAATTGAGGGTTAATCGAGAAGTGGATAAAGTTTATAGGGATTGGGAGGACAGGGGACGTCTTTCAACGATCATCAACGACCCGCGAAATTGTGCAATAATAAAAAACTATACTAGTGCTAATTATCATAGCGATAGTAGGCTAATGATAGGGGGGGGAGGAGGAGGAGGGGGTTGGGGAGAGTGCGAATAAATAGTTGAAAAAAAAGAAATTGAGGGAAATGGGCGCGACCTTGGAAACAACCGTATATAATAAAAGAAGAGCATCGTGTATATCGTACGGGGACAAGTGATGAATATCCGTAATGCGGAATTTTTTCGCATAAATCTGTGTTACGTACGAGTGGTTGCGTAAAGCTACATCGCGGACCAAAAAAGAAAAATTCAAAATTCCTTCCCAACTGTGCACGTTCCACACGTATGCTTGGTCGGTGCGTGCGTGTGTCTCGTGCACAGATGAATTTTTAGTTGTCAAAATCGTTTTTTTTCTTTTTTGTATTATTTCCTTAATTTGCGTTTGATCCGTTTTTTTTTTCTTTCTTTTTTAATCGTTTACCTACATTCTCGTGATTTTTTTTTTCTCTTTTGAAGCAAAATCACGAAGACTATGGTGCGGATCGAACTAGTGGTCCAAGTTGTGATACAGATGCGAGAGATTTATCGTGAAACGGATGAGAGTGAAATGAGAGGAGGATAAGATGATGGTACGGCCGTGAGAGAGAAAGAGAGAAAACGAATGCGTGAAAGAAATGTTAATGAAGGGTCAAGAGAAATGAGTAAAAAAAAAAAAGACAGGTGTCTCTTCGGTGCCGAGAGTCGCGTCCAGGACTTAGGTAAATTATTTCTCTTTATTTTCTGGTTGGCTGTGTGAAGAAATCTTAGGTGAAAATAAAAGGAGAAAAAAAGAGAAAGGAAATAGTGGGAGAGAAGGTGGGCGAGCTTAAAGGTGAAAAATGGGAGAATGCGGTCGCGAGTCATCGGCAGATGGGTGATAAGCGATTTGTGTAATTTCTGTAAGATGATTATGGGTACGTTGAGCATTGGAGGGGTGGCAGGGAGGGTAAGTGCGTTTTTCTAGACGAATGAGAAAAAAAAAGAAATTTAGAAAGGGCATCACTGGCGATCAGCCGAGCCCCTTCCGGGATACAAGGGTAGAAAAAACGTTTTTTCAATAGGTACGCCTAATATATATAAATATATACATATACATATAGTATATATTATATTATTATATTATTATATTATATATCGAATTATATTATTATTGTCGGATAGATGAACTTATTATATATCATTTGTTGGGAGAGCGTTATATATTATTATACATTACACATATTTAATATATATATATCTATACATATACATATATATATATATTTAGGGATATTTATTTGTTGATTATTTTGGTGATATATTACTATATTATGATTTTATAAGGAGGCCCCGGATTCACCCGTGCGACGGCTTCTCTTTACGTTCTCCTTCGCCTGAGAATTATATTATTATCGTTATTATTAATACCGCTACTATTACCACTACTACTAGTACTATTATTATTGTTATTATTATTGTTATGCGTACACGCCACGCGGCGATGTGTGTTTAATCCTCGATAAAGGTGCCGGTTGACAGTTTCGCTGATTCACCGAGGCTCACGTTCAAAATTTCTATTAAGTAATACATCGACCCGTATTTAAAGACGGGTCTGCGTGATCGCGCATGCGCAGAACGAGCGAGGGATGCAAGACAAAATACGAGCCAATGTCGAAATTTTCTTGGGCTTAAAAAAGGTCAAATTAAAATCTTACGTTAAACGAAGGGAGAGGCAAATCCCCGCGTCATGTGTATAAATAGTATCAGTGAAAGTCGAAAATACGATTACGAACAGAGCAGATACGACCGATTGCAGTTACCAGGAATTTAATTTAACGATAAACCGATTGATTCCCTCTTATTGCCTTATTCTATAGTTTCTTGTACGTACGTGACCTCTTAGTAAGTTCAATTAGGATCGATGCAGTTTTCAAAGCTGACACCACGAGATCTTTCAGCTGCAACGTTGTGCTGCGATCGTAATGCATCTTTTTCTTTAATTCCAATTGCAACGTACACGTATGAATGTGCCGTGGCGCTGCGCCCGTTACGTCGGACATCAAGGGGGGTGGATAGGTGACTGGTAGGGTGGTTTTACGGGCAGCCACAGGGTTTGAATAGTAAATAACAACGAATGGGCGTTCACTGAATTTTCGGTCTGCGATTCGTTAAACTTTTACGAAGATATAGAATAGCTGGGCTGTGACGCTATGGGCGTCCCTGTAACGTGCACTGCCGGTGCACTTATGCATCCTATGACCCTTCGTCGGATGCATCTGCACGGAATTGCAATATCTCACGTGAATATCAATATGTATATATACCAAGTGCAATATAGAAGCAGATCGATAAGCTCGATTGGGTTAGACGTAGAGTATATAAAAATATGTTATACCATGTAATCGTGAAATGTCAATGGGAATAATCGCGTGGTCGTGTCGCGCATGCGCGCCGTTGGTATCATTAACAATTACACAGCGCACTACTGTTAGTTTCGTTCCTATTAATTAATCGTAACTGGTAGCCTCTAGTCTAGTGGGTCTGCCGAAGGTAACCGAATTTATCCTTCGGTGAATTCGCGCGCCCAAGTCAGTTCAGCCTTGCCTAATTAGCCGTTTGCAATAATTAACGCGCATGAGAATATTCGGTTCGCTCTGTTCGGAATCGTAAGAGACGCGCGAGGACGTGGAGAGTGGCACGTGCGCGTACGTGGGTGTATGGGAAAAAGGAACGATAAAGGAAAGAAAAAAAAAAAAAAGAAAAAAAGGAAGAAGAAGCAACGAATGCCGTTGATGGCTTTGGAGGAGGAGGGACTGAAAGGGAGGAGTGAAAAAAAATACATACCACATGGCAAACGGATATAGTAGTGAGATTTAATTTTGTTCTTTTTTTTTTTTTTTCTTCTTATTTTTCTTGAGCTTTTCATTTATTTTTTATGACGGGCGCGCGCGTGTGCGTGCGTACGGAGAGCCAAGAGAGCTACAGTGCGAGCCAAAAATAAAATCTTGTGAAAGTGCATCAAAGTGCATTCCGAGGCCTCGTTGAAGGTGGATTCATTGTGAGTCGATGAGTGCAGCTGCGGGGTCTTGATATACCAAAGCACTGTCAGACAAATTTTCAACGAATTTTTTCCGAGTCGACAGCGCCAGCCGATATTCACGTGTGTGTTAGTCGGACGTGAGTATGAGTTCGAGAGATTTTAAAGATTTATGTGAAAACGCGGGGAGTTTATTTCTTTTTCTTTTTTCTGTATAGGATTAGCTTATATCTAATGATCGATTCTACGCGTAATGCGTCGATGCGATTACGAGAAAAACGAGAGAGGCTGTACAGATAAGTATGCGTGTGTGTGTGTTTGTGTGTGAGAGAGAGAGAGAGAGAGAGAGAGAGAGAGAGAGAGAGAGTTGTAAAAATTTGAGTGGAAAAGAAAGATAAACAGAAGTGATGTTTGAGATTTAAGAGAGAGAGAGAGAGAGAGAGAGAGAGAGAGAGAGAGAGAGAGAGAGAGAGAGGGAGAGGGAGAGGAGTGATAGTCACTCGATACACAAGTAACATACTCCATTGCCTTACGATAATAGATAATACGTTTACACGTAAGCGTAGATAGTGTTAAATGCCGATATACCTATTTATGTAGCGTTACCAAGATTTAAAAAAAAAACATGGAGATAAGCGAAGACGAAGTAAAAAAAAAACAGAAAAATAGGTAAAATATCGTAAAGGGATATAAAAAAAAAAGCACGAAAAACCCTTGTGTATAGTCACCCGCGAAAGTTTCGATCGACCACCTCCCAAAAACCAAGCGTTCATTGGACTTTCTTGTGATACTGACTACCAAAAAAAAAAAATGGGCTAAATGCAAAAAAAAAGTTGAAAACTTTACACGTGACAGTGCGTTCGACGTTACGGTATGTCAGCGCGTGACTTTTTGAAATTACAGACTTTTTCTTTGAAATCTCTTATGTTCGTTTACTTGTTTCTTGTGCCGTTTCGCTTTTTTCTTCGATGTTTCTCTTTTTCACGTTGCCCTCTCCATCAGTCTTAAATATTTATGCGAGTGCTGACGGATACAAATTTTACGTTTGTTTTTCGTATAAAACTTAACCTGGCAATGTCAAATTTATGTTCCGTTTACGCTCGCGAAAGATTTGATGGATTTTCGAAAATTGTGTAATTTTTATTTGTCATTTCCCACATTTTGGTTGTCGGTACCACGAGGGTAAAAAGTCTTATCCCGTAGCCGACTAATTAGCCCGCGTCGTTGATTAGCCTAAAGCCGAGCGAGCGAAGCGGGACTCACGCCCTTTTTCTTGGCGTTTCGTAATAACATATATATATATATATACCGAAGATCGCAACACAGAAATATCGCGTTGGCGTATTGAGAGCAATTCGATGAGAAGCGATAAAAAAAAATTTCCAAAATCTCATGCGAGACAGAACGAAAGGGTGGAAAAACGAAGAAAAAAAAAATTGTACATTTGCCCAATGCCGTCAGTACAATTTTCCGGCGTTAAATATTTCGCCAACACCTTTTGATACTCCCTCGGGATGAAACCTGGGACTTTCGGTTGCGTCGGATACTCGTAGCGTCTTCGTATTTTAGATGCATAATTAATAAATTCAAAATGATACAGAAGTGTGCATTAGGGAGGAAGAAAAAAAAAATTTATAAAAAAAAATATTCCCCAAGTATTTCGTACTCCAGGGATATCGTATTACGCAAATTGTAATCGTGTCGGCGGCACTAATTTACAGGGCAATTTGTTGTGTGGAGGAGATAATTGAAAGGGAATTTATTTCAAATTAAAACCATAAAAAAAAAAAACATCTCACGAAAAGCAAAAAACCAGTCAAAGAGAAACGGACAATCTAAATATCTTGTTTCCCATAATTTGGCAAAAGGTTCAGTACAAGGGGAATACCTGTATATTCCTAAATATATACATAAAGCTCGGACCACAAAAAGAAAACACGAAAAATATTCAGAATCCTTAAATTTTTCCTCAACCGGGTAAAAAATTTTCAAGTTTTCACCCGTCACGCCTCATTATTCTTCCATTTTTCAATTTACACTCTTTCGTCTCTGTTCTTTTTTTTTCATCTTTAAAACATTTTTTTTTGTTCCCTCCTATTCGACGTTTCCATTCATTTCTAAATTCGCATAAACGTAACGTACGTGGACGGTCATCGTAAGACGACTCGTTGCAAGGAACAAGCTTTTGGTTTTATTAATTTTTGTTCTGTACCCTACGATATTATTACCCGTATTCACCTATAAATACGTTCGCGAATAATAAAAATAAAGAATTTATATTTCGCTGGTTATAAAAATTCCAAAAATACCGAACACCAATGCCCCGTCAAGTCGTATACGCTGGCTATATAAATTCGTATATACTCTCTTCGCGTTAACATTCTTATTTACCGCATTAGATACGCTATTATACCATTCGGTAACGTTATTATCATACGAGCCGATCGATCACTTGAAAATCGTGTTCGACTCACGTGCGGTTGCACGAGAACGTGCCTTTACTCGTTCGTTATGTAGATATTTTTAAAGAAACTCGTACATTTAAATGCGAGTCGGGTAAATTGACGGATATTGTCGGGAAGCTTTTTTCTTTTCACTCGAAGAGTGACTCTTTCATGCGATTTGTCAACGGAGGATAATGGTGATCGATGCGAACGTCT